TGGGAATATGGCTCTGCAGTACCTATTTATTTTTATACAGTTTTGTACCAGGGGTTTTTAACCTCTCATAACACATTTATTATGGAAAGTTGGGGATAGGCCCTCTTCTAGGCTGGCTGAGACAGTGCCTGGTGGGACCTTGTAATCCATCTGATTAGGATTCCCTCAGCCCAGCCTCAAATCCAACCGGATAGACATGCACAAGTGGGGTTTAGGTTGGTCTCTCCAAACTAGTAACAGCTCCAGCCCAGACCTCCACAGTTCCTGGATCTTCAGGGGGGTGGGCAGGTGGGAGCAAGGGATGATAAGCACCATGTAACTAGCTCCTTGAGCCAAACTGCTTATTTCTTTCAGCTCAGCCACTGTCTGAGGAAACCTGGTGGGTCACCACTTGTCCATCCACAGAATTAGCTCATGGTGAGCCCAAGGAGAGGCCCACCAGTGCCAGGCCAGTCTGGGAGGGTGTTCTAGCCAACTCCTGTGCAGAGGGGCCAATGTAGAGAGAACAGACGCATGGCAACTCTTCAAGGCCACCTGAGGGCAGGACAGATTGGGCATCCGTGCTGACCTTGGAACTTCCATGGGAAACCACACTGTGCCTCAACTTGAACATTCGTTCTCACTACAAAGGAGCAAAGAACCTGTCTTCTTCTTCACTTTGTCCCGAAGCTGCCATCTCCCTACTGTGGAAATCCAGGAGTGTGCTGCTGGTAGCCACCACAGCTCTGACTTCTTCACTTCTTGTTTTCAGATGAGTCAAGCAGAGTCTCTGTTTTTATTCTCTTTTCTTAAAAGGGGGAGAGAAGGGTGTTCCAGAGTCCATCTTTAAACCCCAACTTCCAATAAAATTGGACTTGGGTCAGGACCTTTATCACCTTTGTGGCCTTTTCCCTAACCCTCCACCTCTCAAAGGCCACCATACCTGACCATGCCCCAGGAGAGCTGCCTCCCTCCATTGTAGCTCCTGCTAACTCCAGGACAAGGAATCAGTTTAGGAAGTGGCTAGAAGGGATATGGCCATAGTGATCCTCTCTAAGTGGCTTAATGTAGCAGGGGCATGAGATGTTACTGCCTGCCTCTTGCTGCTAGCCAATACTGCATCCTTCCAAAGTGCACACTGCTTCCTTCAGTTACTAGAAAGGGGCTGAAGACTTTGCAGAGAAACCTGTGAAATGTTCCCCTGCATTGCACTCCCAACAGTACTTTTTTCAAAGCTTCCATTTTATAACCACTAGTTTGCAGTTTATTTAGTACCTGGTGACATGCTGCATGAAATGTTTTCCAACTCTGGAAATGCATGCAGCTCCAGGCAGGTTTTTCTTCTCAAGAGTTAAGCCCCCTTGAAGGCAGGGGAAACAGGAAATATATTCATCTGAAACGCCTGAGGTTGGGTGAGTCCCAAACACCAGGCCACACAGTGGGCTCCAAGCTCAGCATTACCTAGGACAGCAGCAGCACCACCATCCCGAGTCAGTCACTGTTGGGGGTGGGGGGGCTGGCCAACAGGAATGGGAGGTTCTAACACTGCTCAGATGGTATTTGAGCCTTAGCCCTCAGGAGCTATTCTCCAGCTTCTTTTGACCAGCAAAGATAGACTATTCTTTATCCCTTCCAAGAGAAGACATTTTCAGTCAGGCACGAAGTGGAAAGAATTTAAAGAAAAAAATTTCTAAAGTGGTAACAACTGAGCTACAAAGGGGAATGGGCCATTTTATGCACAATAAAAGTTTTAAAAGGGATACACAGTGTGTTTCTTAAGTCGTAGTACTGGACTTGGCAGTGCACCAGGATGCATGTCCAGGTCTGCCACCTGTCTTTTGCAGGTAGGTGGTATTCATGCAAGTCATTTTATGTCTAATGTATGTGTGAATATGTGCAAGGTTGTTTAAAGACAACTTTGTTTGCTTGTGTGTGTGTGTGCTTTTTTTTATTATACTGGCTCAGCCATCAACTGTTATTACTTGAGAAATGTCTGAAGCAACCCAATGTGGTAAGAAGCTGTTCTTTAAAATCAAACCCCAGTATTTTCTCTTGAAAAAAAGCATGTTCTAGAAATTATCCAAGTCAGAGTGAACCTGGGTCCTGGCAGCCTTCCTTGCCAGTGCTGCTTCCAGTCTTGCTGGGCACTGGCCTTTGACACAGCTGACCTGAGAGCCAGTGCTGTGGGGTCTGCAGCTTCCAGGCCTCATCATTCAGATGTGTGAATGTCCCCGAGTTCCTTGCACAGGGTCTTGGAGAGAGCTGACACCACCCTTCTTTAGAATGGAAAAATCCCCGAGAAATGGAAGAAAATAATCCTGACTGACTCTCCTCTCTTTGCTACAAGAAGCCTCCTGGGTTGCTTTTCCAGCACTCTCCCCTTCCCTTTGTGTTGACCCATCAGGAATACAGAGCTAATCCCTAAGGCATGATGCTTCCCTTGGGAACAGTAACAAGGGAGAAAAAATGGCAATAAATGGGTGGAAGTGAGTCTTGCCCAGCCTGGAGGTCAGCCTTAGAGGCTGGGTCCACAACCTTCTGGCTGTATTGCCAGCTATTCCAGGAGGAAGAAAAGGGCCTAACTGACACAGGTAGAAACAAGAGAGCCAGCATGAGTGAT